AATCACCCACCCACCCTCCCACACAGGTCATTTTTACTTCTGTTCCAAACAGCATTCATCTTGTCTGTTGGTCAGTGAGTCCATTCCTTCAGAGTTCTCATCACACACTCTTCCACACACTCTGCTCTGGCTTCATCCTTACTGCAACAGCTTTGCTGGGAGCAGCCTGTAGAACAGCAGTTCTCAACCTGTGGGTTTTGACAGGGGTGGGGGTGTTGTCAAATAGCTCCTTCATAGTTGGAAAACAGATATTTACATTATGATTCATGACACTAGCAAAATTATAGTTATGAAGTAGCAACAAAATAATTTTATGGTTGAGGATTACCACAACTTGGAGGAACTATGTTAAAGGTTGGAGGCATTAGGAAGGTTGAGAACCACTGCCCTAGAGGGGAAAGGCTTTTGGGGCCTTTTGTCAGTTATTAGACGATAAAAAGCCCTGACATCCACAGCAGGGGCTCAGTCAGGTGTGGGTTTCTGTTCTGATTAGTACCCCCTCAGGGAAGCTGCTGGGCCTCCTGCTCCTGGTCTGCCCGTCACTTATAAGTGTCCAGGGACATCACTGGGCATCATGAGAAAGACGACAATTGCCAAGCATCAGGTGGATTTCTGTTCTTTTGTTTTTAGTTAGTCTCCAACATTCTTCACACAAGTACAGTATGGCGTTCTAAACAAATTCTTCCCCCTTGGTATCCAGTTATCACTGTAATGTGCTGTTCTGTGATATTTTGATTGGATTCTGATGGTCCCGAGACTGCTAATAAAGTTGTTTTGAATCAGAGGGTGGAGCTAACTACTAGCTGACTAAAATTAACCATAGAGATTTTGGACAACTAAGAACAAAGACATAGGAAGTAGTAGGGTGGGTCTTGGCTCTTTTTTTTTTTTTTTTTTTTTTTTTTTTTTTTTTTTTTTTTTTTTTTTTTTTTTTTTTGATCAAGGAACAAGAGAGAGGTCATTGGTTGTTTCTTCACAGCACTGATCGTTCAGGATCTTATCCCGACTGACTCCTGAGTTTTTATTGATGAGTAGATAAAAGCTTCAGTGTGCTGTGACCGGGTTCTACTTCATGAAGCTAAGAGGCAACTTTTTGTTAGCAGGAATTCCTGCTTGTGACCGCTGATATATGCCAGCTTCTCATGGGCCCATGCCCCAAGAGCCCACTGAGTCTGCAGACTCCTGGCACCCAGTGGGGCATCAGGTGCAGAGTGGGAAAGCTGCACAAGGACACAGCATGGACAGCCCCACCAGGCCTTGTGGTGACAGTGAGTGACCTTGCAACAGTGCATGGGATTGGGTGAGAACTCAGAGCAGGCCATCAGATGGTGAGGAAGCCAGTGTGGGGTGGGAAGGGGAACTGCTTTAAGTGAGAGGATTAGATAGGTTTGACCTCTCATGCGCAGAGACCTTACATATCAGTACGTGAAGTAAGTTTGAAGCTCTCACAATGTCTCAGTCTGAACAATGAAATAAGATGAGCCCTGTCTTAGGGTTTCAATTGCTGTGAAGAGACACCATGACCACAGCAACTCTTATTAAAAAGAAAACATTTGGTGGGGCAGTGGTGGCGCATCCCTTTGATCTCAGCACTTAGGAGGCAGAGGCAGGCAGATCTCTGTGAGTTTGAAGCCAGCCTGGTCTACAGAGCGAGTACCAGGACAGGCTCCAAAGCTACAGTCTCAGGGTAGGCTCCAAAGCTGTCTCAAAAAAGAAAAAGAAAAATTGTGGTAGCCTGCTTATAATTCAGAGGTTCAATCCATTATCATGGTGGGATATGGAGCATGCAGGCAGACATGGTGCTGGAGGAGCTGAGAGTCCTCCTGCATCTTGACCTATAAGCAACAGGAAATGATCTGAGACACTGGGCCGTATCTTAAGAATATATGAGACCTCAAAACCGACCTCCACAGTGACACACTTCCTCCAGCAAGGCCATGCCTCTTAATAGTGCTACTCCCCTTGGGAGCCATTCTTTCAAACCACTACAGGCCCTCCAGGATAACTTGGTTCTCCCAGTGCCATTAGGCAGAGTGTACTGTAGATGTATAAACATGATCAACATTGGGCAAGCTGAATTGGTAAGCTAATCCCTGCATGTTTGGGGAAAAGAGATGCAAGGCTGCTATGGATTGCTAAGGTCAAGTACAGCATCTTCCAGCTACCCCCTACCCTGAGACTGACCCATCAGCAGGAAGGAGCATGGCTTAGTCTCAGCAAAAAGACACACCCTTCTCTGTCCAGCATTGGCTGGGTGCTGTCTTAAGCCAATTCTTGGACTGTTTACTGAAGCCATGGCAATGGAGCCGGTGGTGATGGCATGTGCACAGGCCTTTAATCACAGCACTCAGGAGGCAGAGGCAGGTGAGTTTGAGGCCAGCCTGATCTACTGATCTACAGAGTGAGTTTCAGGGCAGCCAGAGACCTTGTCTCAAAAAAACAACAAAAGATCAGGATAGTGGGAA